ATAGCTTGGATGCGTAGGAAAGTAAAATCATGAAACATAGTTTCATAAGTTTTATAGCTAATGAAAATTATTGGTACAGTATTATATACATCTTTTTAATAACCAATTATATATGTACTACGTACATTTAATCCTACGCAGCCCTAATCTTCTCTAATTCCGAAGCATATTTATTAATTCCCTAAATTTTCGCCTTTCCGCCACCAAGGTACATGGCGAAAAAGTTACACGTAAAAAATTTCACATTTTCACGTTTAAGAGAGTTACATGATCCCGCAAAATCGTACGTGATTGTAAGTTCACGTGAAACTTTTCACTTTTCACATTTCCGCCCTAGGGGAAAAGTTACATGATTGATCCCCTGATTATAGTGTCTCTAGGATGTATCATTTTATCTGTATTTTTCATCGAATATTAAACAAGGATAAAATGATACCTGGGTGTACTCGGATTATTTCTAAATGCACTGTAGTGCAGTCCAGTGCAAGAAAATAGACTTCATGATTCGATTATAATCGCTCTGTACTTTTCTTAGCTGAGCTGCATTATGCTATTTTGCGATCATTGATTATTAAGAAATATGAAAAATTATATAAAAATAAAGCAAATGTGAGAATTGATAATTGAAAAATCTTGTGTTCAAATCTTTTTATGGTTTGAAAGCATTCGCTCGATAAAAAAAAGTAGAGGTTTGTTGAATAAAGAAATTCTAAAGAAAGTGCAATCTGAAAGAGATAGACATTGAACATGCGAATGATAAATTTTGTCGTAAAGGAACTCAATCAAATTAGTGTGGTAGATAATATGGATAATAGTACTTTTGGGTGTGTTCATAATCACGTTGAGGTTATGTGGTTACCCGCGCGAGACTAACAGTATCGTTCTCAGTCTGCCTCATTTTAAAATACAGAAACGCGCTTAGCAGAAAATTTATAATATGATACATTCTTTTCTCGAAGTGGAAGACGCCTGGTGTTACTGGGTTATCTCAGTTGGTGCTCTATTGTCATTTCTCGCTCTAGTTGCTGCCTGCATTTGCAGCTGTCGACGAAATGAGAATAAGTAAGTGCTAAATTGTCATTAATTATGATTTATTATGATAAATTTAGTATGTTCAATAATTTAAATTATTAATAGATTGTAAATATTAACAATTATGATACAAGTAAATATAACACAAAGTATTTTTTAATGGAATTATCTCTAAAATATATTTTTTATTGAATTAGTAACAATTTATAAATTGAAACCTCACTTCTCTTGATATAAAATAATCATCTTAAATTATTTTCTTCAGAATTTAATTTGTAAGATAATTTATGCAACTTTACATTTGTTGTACATTTATAACAGGAATGAATTTTTGGGACTCAATGGTATGGTAACACTAAATAGTTCCGAAACAAATAGTTTCAACAGAATTTTGACATTGGATGTATCTGAAGTTAAACAGGATGTCAACGATGGCAAAAGGTTTCTACTTTAACAATAAATTGATTGCATGCAGGTTTTTCCTATAATTATATTTTTTATAGTTAATAATATTCTTGAGTATACTAAATTTATAGATCCATTTATTATTACCATATAAAATACTTTCATTGTTCTTGAAAAAAGAATATAATGTTTAGAAACAACTATTTATTTCAGAAGAGCATAAATTTAAATCATGAATAGAATATTTTTTTCAAGATCATTCATTTGAGATTTTAAGGTCATTTAAGTTTTTTTATTGTATGATATTTGTTATATGATACTGTATATATACATAACATGATAAGTTTGGTGACTTAAATTGATGTGAGTATCACATGATCTTAAATACAAAATCTATAATTATATATCTATAAATTAATAATATTCTAAATTTTTTGTTATATAGATATGATTATTATATTGGTTTAAAACAGTTTTCATTTTTATGTAAATATCCTTCACAAATGTTTTTCATTCAAGTATGTGTTCATAACTAGCATTTTCAAGTTGTAAGTTTGAATTAACTTAAGCTCGATCAAACTAAATATTTATCATGAATTCAAGTTTGAAAAATATGTAAAGATAAAAATATAAAATATTAAATTATTAAATTTACTATGAAATATAATTTTATATAATTCATACAATGTTTTCAATATATCTTTTCGGGTGTTAAGTTTTTGACAGTTCAAGTATGGTTATAATCAGTTTGATAATAATTTAAAGCCAATCGTATGATTTCATTAATCACTCTTGTGTTTAAAATTTATCGCAGAAAACGCTATAATATTTATGTGTATCACACAAAAAGAGTGATAGAACTTAAAAGAATCAGTTTTTTTATACGTATCAAAATTTTATATTATATGCTTTTATATAAAGCAAGATGATAAACAATGGAATATTTATTTTTTATCTTTAACAAAAGATTAAAGTTATATATATCTAA